AGGAAAGTTTATTAGGGCAAGAATATACTTTCAATACACAGTACCCATCACTGCACACATTTATATTGAAGTATAAAAGGTATATAGAATATTAAGTCCCTCCCCAGGAAACAGAATACCAGGCAGCATCATTGTCCCAAGGGTAGAGATAGTTTGCTGATTTACATTTGACTTCCAAGGCATCATTTTCTACTTGGGAAAGTAAGTTAAAGAGATGGAGTTTTGAAGACTTTCCTGCCAGGGCTGACTTTGAACCTCAATCCTGCATATCTCAGCCATGTCAGTCTCTAGGATGATAGGTGTGAGCCATCAGTATTGGGTGAAGTTTATTCCAAAACTATTCCTTGACCAACCCTGTACTAGAAATATTAAACCTTAGGTGAGTCAAGTACACAAAACACATACCTTGTGACATTTCATGCCCTGGGTAGACTGCATAGTATAGGCTGGTCAACTTAACTTTGAAAGCTTAATTACAATGTTTTCGATCATAGACCTTGTGATACAACCATCCATAACTGGGCTCAATTCCGAGGATTTTTCTAATGAAATCAACTCTAAAAGTTTAGTGTTCTTTGCAGTTACTTTTTAGCAATTATATACTAATTGAGTGAATTATTACTGAACTATGAAAAATTTCACTAAGTATCCATATGCCTTTTCACAGATTTCCATGTCCCCCCACCGCCCGCCACTCCTGTTTTGCAGACAAAAAAACTGAATATTAGGGAGATTGAGAAATGGTCTCAAACTGTGCCATACATGCGGAAGAAGACCAGAAAGGTTTTTGGAGTTTTGTTATCATCCCCTAAATCATGCTCTAAAATCATCTGGTTATACTGTTTTCCTACAAAGTTCTTGCATAACTCTCAAGGTATTTCAAAATTTAGGAGTAGAATTGTTGGCTCTAGGGACTAGGTGGCATGAACTACTGAAAAAGAGCAGGAAGTCAAGGCTCAAGGCGACTTCAGCTAGGCTGGAGGTAAGATAGAACACATACCTAGCAAAGGAGAGGCTCTGAATTTAAACCATAATGCCACTAAAATGAAAGAGAGAGAGAGAGAGAGAGAGGAGAAAAGATGGAGGGGAGGGAGAGGGAGGAGGAGGGAGGGGGAAGTTTTGGGAGGGAGACATAGAGAGAAAGAGGCTTAGCACATAGGAAACAGACACTGGTCACTTATTTTCTGTATTTTTGTTTTCTTACCTGTGACATGAGTCAAATGTTCTCCATTCATATATAAGACGGAAGGCTTCTGGTCTTGTGGGTGTGTATATATTTATATTAGCAATCAAAGGAGGAAAATAGCAAGATGGACATAAAAATCATTCCAAAAATTTTTGTATCATTACTCTAAAAACAGAGCTAGTTCCACAGACAAAAATGATACAACAAACTTCATGTGTTTTCTCAAAGAGGTACTTCTCAAAACTATACAGGTTATTTCTGATCAAAGTGGAACCACACATTCTATATACTTCTTTTTTGTTATACTTCTTTTTTGTGCTAGGTAAAAACTAAATTAAGGGCTGGGAATGTGGCTTAGTGTTAGAGTGCTTGCCTTGCGTGTACGAAGCCTTGGATTTGATTCCTCAGAATCATATAAACAGAAAAAGCCAGAAGTGGCACCATGACTCAAGTGGTAGAGTACTAACCTTGAGCATGGAGAGGCTGAGGGACAGTGCCCAGGCCCTGAGTTCAAGCTGCAGGACTGGCAAAAACATTAAATTATTCTATTCATTTTCAGGAAAAAAGTTAAAACAAAGCCAATATGATATGAATCCTATGACTCAAGCATCTTAGAGCAATCAAGAAAACATAGAACATAAATAATATCCCTGATTAGAAGCTTTCTTGATTTTTCCTACTGTAGAAATCCCTATTCCAGCAAATAAATGGAAAGAAACACTACTTTCAGCATTAGATTTTGATGATTGCTCAAACTTATTTCACTGTTTAGCCTTGCAAGACCCCATATTGCAGCTACATTAAACTATTTGCAACTCTTCAAAGGGTTTTTCTTCTAAGATCCATTTGGCTCCCTCTACCCACCATGCTTTTTTCATTCCTCAAGAAATTCCATGGTATAACCCCTGTTTCCACTGTATTTGATTTTGGTGCCCTGCATCTTGTATATACATTTTTCTAATTTGGGGAGGGAAAAGGAAATAACAAAATGCTGAAATAAGAATACAGGTTTACCCATTGTAACAATAGATATACAAAACACAATGTTGAAAATGAACTTTACAAGTTGGTGAGGGGAGTTGGTAGACAGCAAATGTACTCATTACCTTGCCCATGTAACTGTAACCCCTCTGTGCAATATTTTTACAATAAAAATATAAAAAAAGAAATTTCAATTGGCTGTCAAGATTGTACTCAGAGATGATCCCATAATGAAACCTTTGTTGACAGAATTCCCTGGTTCTTTGTTTCCTTTTTCTCTATATTCATGTCTAGCATTAAGAGTCCATGTCAGGTACTGTAACACTTACTTGTTAGTTATATGTCTGTCTTATGCTAGACTGGAAGTTTCCTGAAAATAAGGATTATATTCCATTATCATAGTATTCAAAACTTTATCAGAGTCAGTGTATAAAACACAATTGTCATTTAAAAGATTTTAATACATGATTGAATAAATGGTGAGCCCTAAATGACACTCTGATATGTGTGTTTGTGAGTATAGGTATGTTTTATATACTAGAGGTTTAGATTTAATGTTTTGTTATTCATATAACAATATATTTAAATTACATTAAAACATCATTATCAATAATATCCCTTTATAAAGATTCACCGCATAAAACAATCATTCCAGAATAAAAGATTGTGAGATTAGTTGTCTATTATTTGTATAAAAAAACATACAATATTTTCTATTCTTTGAACTTTCAACACCTCAAAATTTTGGGTCCCTGTAACAATAATAATAGCAACCCACTGCCTTCACGAGAAACCACACCTTGTACAGAGACTATCAAAACCAAATTGTTCTGGATACATTAACAATTAGGTCTAAAACTGAAACAATCAGGTGAGATGGTTTTGAAATCAATCTAGTAAAATAGCAGCTTGCAAATAACTGCCAACTCTTACAAACCTGCTACTTTTGAAGGAAAGGATACTCACAAAATAATATTATAAATTATGAAAGAAAATGTAAGAACTAGTTATAAAAAATGTATAAACATTTAAAACTGAAGTTAATCTACACCTGTATAAGCAGCATTATATATATATAGATAGATAGATAGATGTTGAATATGGTCTCAATACCTATTGATTAATGTATATTTCTACATCTCAGTGCAGATTATAGAAAGAATTAAGAATTTGTTATTCAAGTCATCTGAATTTAAGGTATTGCTTGCTAAGTTACCTTTTGCTTATGAGTTTAAATGAGGCAAAACTGAGAAGTAAATCTGTAAAGACAACTGTTAGCAGTGGTGAGTAGAAAGGGACTTCCCAAAGCCTGAATCAGAGAAGTCTGGACCAGGTTTTTCTGTACCTAAATAAATACAATAATGAAATATTGACTCATTTGTGGTTTCTTAATATATAAATTCTCACAGTGCTTGTTCTAAACAGTATTTCATTCTCTCTCCTAAAAAGATGAGACAGGAAAACATGAACAATTCATAGAGTTTAGAAAACAATGACTATTGAGTCCATTATTTGAAATAAGAGCTGGGACTGTGGAAAGCCCCTGGGTAGTTGGGCATCATCTCCATCTTTTAAGACACTTATTTGCATGTTATTTACTATCTCCATCATATGCATGAAAGAAAATTGACTATTCAGGTTAATCTTTATAGTAGTAAAAAGTCAATTCTATACAACTCTGCAGCATGATATCCAGAATGTTTCCAGACTACAGTTGTAACATAAACATGGTCATCAACACATAAATACTACCTGTTTGAAATTCAGATGGAAAAACAAGGAGGCTTACTAAAGAGCAAACAGCAGGGTTCTTTAATAAAACTTGTAAACACAGAAAATGGAACTTAGTACCTAGACACATTAAAGCATTTATTCCCTCAGTAAAATGAGTAGAGGAAACCGTTTCACATTGGCATATTTTTAAGATTACTATTTTAGATATGAAGCCTTAACGGCCTCCCCCAACCCATTCCTGCAAAAAAAGACAATCACTTTCCCTTTGGACTTCCTTCAAGAAGAGATACAAGCTTAAAATGTTAACTGAGAATGTAATTCACGTAAATTATGCAACTGGAATTCCACAGCTGGTCTCTCTGGCTCAGTGCTGAATGAACACAGCAGCAGAAGACCTTTCCAATAATAATGCCCTCCTTCCTGCCAGGGGGTAAATCTCCCAAACTTAGGCTCAACTTCAGAAGCTCATTAGCTACAGCAAGTGAATGTCAGTGGGGTGACCACCTCTCTCTAGCAGCACCCACACAGGCAGAAGCAACCAGCCCACCTGGAGCCCAGGGTCTGCCCGATGCATATAGTCAATACCCAAATGACAGTCGTTTGTTTATAAGCAGGGGATGTTCAGGTATCCCACTGATGACATTCTAATGCCATTAGAATCCTAACTATAAACAAACCCCTGGCTCTTAAACAATTAAGCTTGCATGAACACAGGCAGCTGACAGCACTTTTTAAAAGGAAGACAACAATCAAATTTACAACATGCTTTATAGCTTTTTAACCTACTCAGCTTTCTTCATTCTGGCCTACCTATATAATGTTCATCTTTCCCCTCCCCTCCACTTTCCTCCCCCACCAGGGGTGAGCATGAACCTGAATTACAAACAGTTAAACCTGAAGGTCACTTCACAGCAGCGTTCCAACATGCTTCCCCTGCGAGACTGCACAGCTACCATAAAACAAAGCCTTTGCAACCACCTGTAATAATCTGCCCGCTCAGCCGACAATCCAAAAAGTCCTGGAGCTACACAAGGTAGACATTTTCTGCAGCTGGTTTAACATGTATATTGAGCCCAGTTGCCGCCTCGCCTCCTCTTACCTTCACGTTAGTCCGGAGTGCACAGTAACATGCAAAGAACATTGCAGTAAATAAGGAGCATATGGACCGGTATTCAGCTTCTCAGCACAGCTCCAGCCCCACACACACGATCCTGGGCATGTGCTACTAAGGAGCATCCGTTCCCTCTGTCAGTTTGAAAATGCATTGATCTCTGTTTTCTCTGACTACAAAACGACATGTCTTGAAGGCACTGAGTGAGAGCTCACAATCTCTTCATTGGCTATATATAGCATTGTGCCCAGTAATTTCAATTAGCCGAGAATTCAGCATCTGAAAGTTAAGACCTCAGTTGCTTTTCCTTCTAGCATTTTAAATCACTGGATTAAAAAAAAAAAAAAAGGAGGGAGGGGGGATGAGCTCACCCAGGAAGGAGGGGGGGGGAAAGGTGAAGAACTGAAATTTAACCAATGAGTTACTTTTATTTCTGGAGAGCTCTGGTGTTATCCTATTAGATACTTTACAATGGGATTGCATCCGGAAGACTGTAAATGCGGAGGAAACCTTTTTTTTTCCTTTGAAGGTTTACCAGGAGCTCTGCACTGTATCTCAGGCTATTCTGATGCAGTGCCCTGTTTGGCAAATACTACAAATCACTGCAAGCATATCTCATTCTTCTGCTTCTCCGTGAGGAACAGGAGCACAAGCAACGGAGCCCTGTTTCATAAAAGTCCCTCGGGATGTGATCTGGGCTCTCCTCAGGTGCTCTGCAGTGAGTTCCAGGGCTAAGAAGTGCCACCTTCTCTTGGTTCCCTGCCCTGTAACATCTGCTGTATTTTCCAAGGATATTTAAAGTTGCTAAGCTTCTAATAAAACAATGCATCCAATTTTCTAGAATTTCGCTTTATTGGTAAATGACAATCCATAATAGAGACTTGGAATGAAAACAGAAGATTTCAGGGGAGAACATAACCTCAGAGCAGCAGCTACTGCTTCTGAATATAAAATGTTCAGCTGGCTCTGGAAGGGTGAGAACATGGGAGAAAAATAAAAGCTTCTGTCCCTATGATCCTGAAGGGGGGAGGCGGATAAAACCCTTAGTTAAAAACATCATCAGATCCTACTGTGTGTTGTCTTCCTGTCAAGCAAATGAACTGGATATTTACTTAGTCAAGAGGGCAAAGTACTATTTCAGGTTCAAAATTCTTATTTCCGGGCTTAGGAAGCCTTGGTGCTTAGCTAGAATGTTAAAGCTCTCTGGCAAAATGCAAGCAGAAATGAACAGCTCTTACTGCAGCAAAAATAGTGGGAGAAAGAGTGGCTGTGTCTTTACCACAACACTTCCCATCAGCTTATAGCAACAGGGAAGAGCAGCATAACTCACTAGAAAAAGCTGCAGTGACTTTTAGGATGTTTCTTTAATATGTTTTGCATAAGCCACCTCCCCTTGGTAGCCTGCAGAGGGGCTGAAGCACAAGCACCAGCAGAGACACTGGGAATTTCTCTTGGGCAGTGAGGTGAGACAGCTTCTGGAAGAAACAAAGTCTTTTGGGGAGAGAAATTAAAGAGCAAGATTTTTTTTTTATTTCTCTCTTAATGACAAGCATTCAGAAAGTGTCGTCAGTTCTGACTAAATAGCTATTTTGGGCTGTCATTGTTTGTGCCTTTTTTTAGGAAGAGAAAAGGCAATCTTAGCTTAAGCTAGAGATTCTTCAGCAACGAAGAGAAAGCAGCCACTTAATTTGATTCCCAGTTCCGTCTGTCATAGAGAGTACGTAATTATAAACTGTAGGTACTTGCAACGTAGCCAGTGACTTCCAGGACACCAAAATATCCACAGGCATGTGCAGTTCTGATCATTCCACAACTTTGTTTAATGGCCTGAAATGCAGAACCAAGTGCATTTCAGTTAATCACACAGGTCCCTTTCCCGGAGGTCATGGCAGGTTACATTTCCTGCAGTAATTCCCAATAAATGAACCCAAACTTAGCAACTTGATGCCAGGAAAAACACAGGCAGATTGTAAAATGTCTTTTTCGATGAGGGGTTCAAAGGATTTTTATGAAACCTTTGCTTTCAACATATGAATATGTGGTTAATTTTTTAGCCATCGAATTAAGTAAGAAAAGGGAAATTTTTGTATTTTTATTGTTATATTAATAGCAGAATAATAACAGAACATTCTCCAGGAAGGAGAAAAAGAGCAAACATAAAAGATGGAAAATATTACAAATCTCAGAGCAGCTTACAGGTAAGAATTCAATAAAAACTGAAGTTATACGTAGAAAGGAATCTATGATTCCTGTCCACGTGAACAGGAAGGACTTCTGAGCTCAGATAAAGCTTTAAAGTATGTATATCCTTGAAAAAGCTCTTGGCCTCAAAAGCCTGCTTAAAACTCCCAAATATACTCTTACCTGCCCTACAGAATCCCAGTACTGACACAAGTTATACCTGTAGATTTACTGTTTAATTTATTTTATTTCTTTTTATTTTATTTTATTTTATTTTGCTGGTCCAGGGGCTTGAACTCAGAGCCCGGGCACTGTCTCTGAGTCTCTTTGTGCTCAATGCTAGTGCCCTACCACTTGAGCCACAACACCATTTCTGGCTTTTTCTGAGAGGTTTATTGGAGATAAGGAGTCTTGCTGACTTTCTTTCCTTCCTGGTCTGGCTTTGAACCATGATCCTCAGATCTCAGCCTCCTGAATAGCTAGGATTACAGACAGGTGTGAAGCTACAAGTGCCTGGCTTTATCTAATTCTTTAAGTATTCTACAAAAGCGGATTTTATTTCCATCTTGTATAAATAGAGAAATGCAAAACTAACCCACCTAAAGCCAAACATTCTCCACTTTAGGCAAAGAGTACAACAGGTCAGTATAGCCACAAGAAGTAAACTGTAACTAGTTTCCTATTGTCAGGGGCAGCAGAATGAGTAAGTCTAGGTTCCAATATTGCAAGTGAGTAGTCCTGGAAACTTTTGTCCATGTTAGATCTTTTCCTTTACCATTTTTACCATATGGTGGGAGGATATTTAACTAATGTCACTGAGAAAAATTAAAGATGAATCCTAATATCACAATGAAGTCTAGATGGATCAATGACTTAAGATTAAAAATGAGGGTCTGGGAAGGTGGCTCAGTGGTAAAGTGCTTGCCTTGTATACTTGAGGCCCTGGGTTCAATTCCTCAGCACCACATAAGCAGAAAAAGCAAGAAATGGTGCTATGGTAGAGCGCTCATCTTGAGCTGAAGAGTGGAGGGACAGTGACCAGGCCCAGATTTCAGGGCCCACGATCGACAAAAAAAAAAAAAGAATAAAAATGAAACAACAAACATCTTAGAAGAAAACATAGAATTTGGTTTTTATATAATATTGGAGCAGAGAAGTCTGAAGCTGTGTGTTATAGAAAACACCTAACTGTGGCTATATAAAAATGCAGTGTTTATTTTAGCTAATGCATCTGCAATATATGCAATGGGAAAATTATTTTAAGATTGGAAGAGTTTTCATAAATCACTAACATGTAGCACTGAATAATAAAAAAATAGGTAAAAAAAGAACAATTCATAAAAGTCTATAACACACATTAAGAATGTCCAACACCTACTTAAGGAAAAACATGAATAGAAAATATTTTAATTGATACATTAAATACTAAAGAGGATAAATCAACTGGAGAGAATTTTTGAAAATAAATTCAGAGTCATCTGTTTATATTTTAAAGTTTATATTCCCTTTAATACAGTGGTTTAACTTTTGAGAACTCATCCACATGCCAGTGTATGGGTAAAACATGTGTAAATGCCTTTAAATTGAGTTAGAATTTTTTTTTTCAGTTGTGGAGCTTGAACTCTGGGTCTGGACCTGTCCCTCAGCTCTTCAGCTCAAAGCTAGTACTCTACCACTTGAGCCACAGAATCACTTCCAGTTTTCTGGTGGTTAATTGGAGATAAGAGTCTCATGGCCTTTCCTGCCTGGGCTGGCTTTGAACTGGCTTTGAACTTTGATCCTCAGATCTCAGCCTCCTGAGTAGCTAGGATTATAGGTATGAGCCACTGGTGCCTGGCAAGTTAGAATTTTTTTAAGTTATACTTTCTACCACATAATACAACTGTTAGAAAATATAAGGTTCATATACATATTCTTACGTGGAAAGATTCTTAAATAGAAAATACGACTGGTAAAATGTTGGTATAGTAGGAGCCTACTATGTATGTTATATGTATGATATATATTTATATATAATTGTAGGTAGGGAAGCATGTATGCACAATTGTGTGTGTGTATGTGTGTGTGTATGTGTGTGTGTATGTGATGTAATGTGGCTTGAACTCAGAGCCTTGTACTCTCTCTTAGCTTTCTTTACTCAAGATTGGTGCTCACCACTTGAGCCACATCTCCACTTACAGCTTTATTTTTCCTTATTAACTAGAGATAAAAATCCAAAAGACACATTTTCCCTAGACGAGCTTTGGATCTGGATGCTCTAACTCAATGAATCACCTAGCCTGGTGGTGGTGGTGGTGGTGGTGATGGTGGTGGTGGTGGTGGTGGTGGTGGTGGTGGTGTGTGTGTGTGTGTGTGTGTGTGTGTGTATTATATATATATATATATATATATATATTATTTATATTTTATTTATTTATTGTCGGTCGTAGGGCTTGACCTCTGGGCCTGGGCACTGTCCCTCAGCTCTTCAGTTCAAGGCTAGTGCCCCACTACTTGAACCACAGCACCACTTCCAGCCTTTTTCTGCTTATTTGGTGCTGAGGAATTGAACCCAGGGCCTCATGCATGCGAGGCAAGCACTCTACCACTGAGCCACCTTCACAGCCCTTGTACATATAATTTTAAAACCATTAATCAATTTGGATTTCAAATTTGGCTCTGAGAGTGAAGCACATTTAACTTATTTTTCCTCTTATACTCTTCCATGCCATGGAAAATTTACAAGGAACTCTTGATGACAGTAAATGAAAAATAAAGACATGGGGAACAAGGAAATACAAGGCCCTGAGAAAGGATTTGCCTATTATGGTATTTAATGAACAAAGGCTAGGAGATGACTAGAAAATGAGAAGTAAGAAGATCTTATTCTGAATTCCTTTGCTATTTAGATATCATCCTGTTACGTAGTGTAGTTTCAATGTGTATTAAAGTATATTTTTCTTAGAGGATGGTTCTCAGTAAAACCAACTACTTAATTTGGTTTTGAAATGAAAAGGGTGTCTATCAAGTAAACTTGATCTTAGTCGATTTTTACCTTATTTATGAAACTTGAAATACAATAGCTATGTTTGTTTGGTTTATTTTTTAACAATGAGTATATAATACTCTTTAACATGTAACTTGAGAA